CAGCAGAGTATAATTCAAATGTCTGTAACACCCAGGGTGTTGCTATGACGATCTTCCATTAGCCTGAGTAGATGAAAGCATTGACCCTGTGAGAGCGGTATTATGGAGTCGACCATGCCATCACAAAATGTCAATAGTTATGATATTTTAAAAAAGTTATTAGAGCGCTTTCATTTTCCAGAGTGGTTTTGCTCATTTTTTTTTACATCTAATTAGTGCTGATGTCACAGAGTATGTCCCTAATTAAGAGAAGAAAAAGATAGAAGGCCTTGCTTTCTTTTGTCTGCGCTGCAGTTTGAAAAGAGAAGATTGTTTTCACGCTGTCTTTAAAAAGAGCACACTTTGGAGGATACACTTGATGATAAATTCGGACAAATCATGGCCACTGTCGTCTATGAATGAATGTCATTCTTTTTGTTCACCAGTTTACCATCGCTTACTCTTCTTCCTCTTTTTGTTTTAAAATGTGTATATTTTGAACCACTGCTGTGGCTTGAAGTTTGTCAGCCCTTTGGGGCCCCCTTCTTACCTGCATGAGGCCCCAAGCAGTTGCCTGCCTTGCCTATTGACAAACAGAACCTCTGACGAGAGGATACCCTTCCTATGGAGTGTAGACCCTGGTGGAGGTGGTGATAGAACAATGCAGGATGTGATGAGGAGTGGGTTTCTGAGACTGTATCTGAACTCTGAGAGAGGACAGATTTTAAAATCTGACAGCTGAAGGATGATTGGGTGAGAGAGGGTGTGGCAGAATCTAGTTGGATTATTACTAGAAGACTAAACACCCAAAATCAGCTGATCACCCGAGCAGGGGGATGGAGGAAGTGGTAGAGAGGGAGAGGCTAAACTAAATGAAGAAAATTGAATGAACGTGTGAGAGAATATAACAAGTCCTCCTGCTTGAACTTACACTGAGCTCCATTGTAAGAAAACAGTAACTTCCTAGGAAGGTAGAAAGGAAGGTACACATCACGGCAGAACTGGCTCCAAATCAAATAAAAGCCACTTAGGAAGAACATTTGTCCTGTCAAGCCTTTGTGTGTTTACAATGAACAAACTGCTCTTTTTGTTCTGGGACTCGTCTAGTGTTGACCTTTGACTTGCACTTCTTTTTTTTGGCAGAATTAATTAATTAATTAAATCTCAGAAATATGTTAAAAATAAAAATCTTCACACTACTCAAAGCGCTTTCACACCCATTCACACACTGATGGCAGAGGCTGCTATGTCAAGTGTCCATCAGTATTAACTTATCTAATCCATACACACCTAAACGCCACCAACGAGCAGCTGGTGCTACGTTGGGTGTGTCTTGCCCAAGGACATATCGGACATGTGGCTGCAGGAGCTGGGGGTCGAACCCCGGACCTTTCATTTGAGAGAAGACCGACCCTACCACTGAGTCACAGCCGCCCCCTGTATAACCTGTTATCTCTGTAACATCCTACTGACGGATATCACAGTTTGCCTGACTGTAGGAACACAGATTCTTCATAAAAGCACAAAACAGTCAAGAACACTAAAAGTAACTCCAAAATAGCAGACACTTTTTTATATTTTCAGTATCCACATCTTAAAAATAGATGTGGTAATTACAAACAAACCTTAAAGAAGTCACAAAGCAAAGAATATGTTTTATAAAACCACTGCAGAATTATGTCACATACTTAGTTATCTTTAGTGAGGCGCCCGAATAATTTCTGATTGAGATAGACAAAATCGTAAAATCCATTTTCAGTGATGCTGAATAGAACCCCCTGTTTAAAAACCTGAGGTCTCACTATAACTCATGTTGTTTCTGTTCTTATTATCACCTCTGTTATTCTCATCATCGTAGAGAGGTCCAGAGCTGCACCGATGGGAGCAAATAGAAGATATAAAAATCTGCCCCAGAGCCCGACAGAGAAAATGGTTCTATTAAGATTCTGCATTAAAAAGAGGAGCGGTCTCCTCTGAGGCTTTGTCTTTAGAAAAAAAAAGGAGAGGCAGAGATGATTTCCACTTAAAAGAAACACACTTATTATAACTACAGTAAGGAAAATTCTCTCAAGAGCAGCTTTTGTTCTCAAAATTTCAAACAAAATACATACAGCAGATAAATACACATACTTTCATTCCATTGTTATGCTGATGAGGTCATCCCCCATAACCACCATCACCTTTTCTGGCCAAGTCATCCACCTCTCTCCAACCGTCACAAATCTCGGCATCAAAATGGACCCTCAACTGAACTTTGAAGCCCACATTAAACATCTGTGCAAAAACTCATTCTACCACCTCAGAAACATTGCCAAACTCCGTCCTACACTCTCCCTGTCAGATGCTGAGAAACTCGTCCACGCCTTTGTCACCTCCAGGCTGGACTACTGCAACACACTCCTCATCGGGATCCCTAGCAAGAGCCTCCAGAAGCTCCAACATGTCCAGAACAGCACTGCTAGGGTCCTGATGAGGGTGCGTAAATATGAACACATCACACCCATCCTTCAGTCACTACACTGGCTCCCTATTTCATTCAGGATTCAATACAAAGTCACCCTTCTCACCTACCAGTGCACCCATGGAAATGTCCCCCTCTATCTCAAAAAACTCTTCACCCCACAATCCTCCACACGAAGCCTCCGCTCTGGAAACACCTCCTCCATCCCCCCAGGACTAAACTCCACACCATGGGTGATCGGGCCTTCTGCTCCTCTTCTCCCAGTCTGTGGAACGCTCTCCCCGAGCAGCTGAGGGCTCCACAGTCTGCTGACGCTTTTAAAAGGGCCCTAAAAACCCACCTTTTTAACAAAGCCTTCTGCTTGTGCTTTTAGTTTCGTTAGTTGCTTAGTTGATGAAATTTGTTTTTATTTCTTTTTTTTTTTTTTTTCCTGTAGCACTTTGAGATTTTTTCGCAAAAATGTAAAGTGCATTACAAATTAAATGTATTATTATTATTATTATTACTCATCCTGCACTCCTTTTCCATGCATTAATAAAATGCTTATCCTGTCCAGTGTAAACACAGGGGTAGGTTTGTGAAAATCACATGTACATAGAACCCCAGTGAAAAGGAGACATCTGTACCTCAGCCACTGGTTCATTTGTTTCTGATGCAGCTGAACCCCATTCACTCAAAGCAAACAGATATCTAATGCTGTATACATAGAGAGTCTGCAGATACAACCTGGCTGCAGGAGAGCATCTCTTTCTACACAGAAAAAGTATTTCTGGTACCAGTGGATCTGTACCAGACGTAATAGATTGAGCATTACAATCTATCAACATTAATATATTCCCGGCTGACTCCCTGCACCAAACGACCAGAATACAGCACTGCATATGAAACAGACTAAGTGATATCTTGATGTCAGATGATGCAAATGAATCCTGGAAATGCAACATGATGGAAACAAAGAAGCTGAAACAAAGTTAGGTGAAAAGCAATCACAAGTGATCTGACAGGTAGTTTAACCTCCACTAGACCAGTCTGTTCATGTGTTGTTTGATGTTTTCCTCTTCTAGAGTCTGAATGTTCCTGAACAACAGTTCCTGATCCAGTGGGTCACACTGCGCCCTCTGCTGGTCCTGCTTTACTCCTGCATTTGATTGTCGTGAATTCTGTGAATTTATTTGGATGACTTGATGTTTCTTTTGTGAACGCCACATGTAAGTTTCACTTAAAATGTATTACAACTTGAGCCATTACACTGAAATGGTTTCAGAAGCATTTACTGAGCCAGAGAAGAGGTGGGACATCTCGATCAATGAGAGGAGATGCATCGCACCAGATTTAACTAGATTCCATCTGCAGTCCTTGGGCAGGTATACACACAAACGATACAAAGTACAACACACAGTTAATCTATACCAAACAGGATTAAGATAAAATAATTCATCCCACAAACGGGGAACTTTACAGTGTTACAGCAGCAAAGAGCAAGGATTGGATTATATAAAAAAAGAGCTGAAAAAACCAGATAACATCATAGCCACATTCCCTAACCTAAAACCTACAACCCTCCCAAGCCTCCCTCCACACCAAGATACACACACACACACACACACGTGCACGCACGCGCACGCACGCACGTACGCACGCACGCACACACACACACACACACACACACACACACACACACACACAGACACACACACACACACACATCTACCTTCTATTGATAAGAGGACGAGATTATAAGTAACTATTGTTATCCAAATCTTTATTATTATTATTAGTGAATAAATAATAATTTTAATGCTGTAATACAGCATTCACACTATTGTTATCCAAATCTTTATTATTATTATTAGTGAATAAATAATAATTTTAATGCTGTAATACAGCATTCACACTATTGTTATCCAAATCTTTATTATTATATATCTTATCTTATTATAATAAGACCTGCTTTTACTACTTTTCTTCTACTTCTTGTTCGCTTGCTTTTACTTCTTCTACTTGTTCTTCTGCTTTTACTTCTTGTTATTCTGCTTCTTCTGCTTTTCTTCTTCTACTTCTTCTTCTTCTGATTTTCCTACTTTTTCTTCTTCTACTACTACTTCTTTTACTATTTCCTCTTCTTCTACATCTACTTTTTCTTCATCTTCTGCTATTCCTTCAGCTGTTTCTGCTGATTCTTCTTCATTCAGCAGTGTTTTGCAAAACATTTCAGTGGTCAGCATTCCCACGCATTTTCCGCAGGTAAATGCAAATTGTCTAGTTTAAACTATTGGGGAGGTGTTGACCTGCAAACACCTTCCTGAGACTTTATGCAACATAAACTGATAACTTTCAGTGCAGTTTTTGATATGGCACATCAAACAGAAGTTAAGGGAAGCAAATGTTAGCCTTTACTGTAAAATACCATCATGAAATTCTCCACATACAAAATGAAACACACCTGTGACCAAATGTTTGCCAGGAATTTCACAATGTTGCTCCACCTTCTTTCAGGCACTTAGCAGTGACATTTGCCTGCTTTGTCTTCTTCCTTTTCTCTCATTCTACATCAGACGGAGAAGCTGCAAACAGGCTTGGAAGCAACATCTTCAACTCTTCAACAAGGTAGGCAGCCGTACCTCTTTCCTCAGACAGAATAAAAATACTAACAAAGGTTTAGAGGAGGAAGAAATACTACAAGCAAGCAAGCAGAAAATGAAAATCTCTAGTCTATTCTGATTTTGTCCTTTTAAAGAACAGCATGTTTTTTTGTTTTTTTTTGCAGCTATAGGTCGAGTAAGTTTGTTATGAAGTTTTAAACAATCATTTATCTTGGTACACTCTGAAACTCAGTTACAGCTTTGCTCTTTATAAGAAAATAAACAGGAGGAAAAAAGAGGGAAAATGTCTTGAACTAGACTGAATGAATCACTGCATTTGAAATGAGCTGAAATAATTTAATAAAAAAATAAATACATAAATAAAAATGACCTTATTAAAACACAAGTCAATGAAAAGCATGTTGTATGTCCTGCACCTGCAATCATGTACAGTAACACACCTAAACTCAATCCCAACATGTGAAGAGTGTGAATTCTATATGTTTTCTTGTGGACTAGAGTCCACTAGAAGGCTTTGGCCTGTCACAGGAAGTCTGATAGAACAGGTCAGACGGGATACATCACTGCTCGCACTCCCATTTTGAGTTCCCTTGTCTTGTCAGTAAGCTGTCTTTACCTCCCTGCATGCTCTGATTTGTCTGAAAGAGCTCAACTCACGCCTAAGACAAAAAACACAACATTTTAAAAACACAAAAATGTATTCTTGACCTTTTAGGCTTTACAAAAAGAACTTTCAAAAGCTCTCGTCTTCTTAAAAAAACTCAACCACTTGGGAGCATTTTGAAATGGGATTAAAAGCTGAAAAGTAACCTTGACCTTTTTGGCAAACTGTGGGATGATTGTAGATTTGATCAGAAATACACATACATCTTATATTCACAAACAAATATAGAACTGAAGATATTGTCAGTCTGAGGTTTGACTTCTTACTTCCTGTGACTGTAATCACGATTGTATTGATATTACCCACAGCAAAACTTTTTAACTTATTAGCGACCTTATGGAGGAACTCGGTTTGGTGCACTTGGGGTGGCAGTTCATTCTGTAGGGACTTGGGTTAGGAAGCAGAGAGTCGCCAGTTCATGTCCTAGTGCGGACCAAGTCTGGAATTCGGTCTGGTAGTTGGAGAGGTGCAGGTTCACGTCTTGAGAAGTGCCAAGGTGCCCTTGAGCAAGGCGCCAGACCACCAGCTCAGGAAGGCTCATCACAGATGTCTCTCTATTAGTGCATGTCCATGTGTGTAGCATGTTCAGCAGAGTGTAAAACTGAATTTCCCTTCAGGAGATTAATAAAGTATATCTTGTTCTTCTTCTTTGGTGCCCACCAAAGGTCTCTGAGTATAACTGCACTGTTATAAAACACAGTGTGTTGACGTAGGCAGCTTAATATCGGACTAGAACTAATATTTGAATGTGGAAAAGATACATATTGTTGCTTTAAACTGCAATATCACTGTCGCCCATGATTTTGTTTTGAACTCTTGTGCTTTCTCGATGTGAAGTACAATTATCTGTCATGAAAAAAAGGCTGAAAGCTAAGCAACTGCCTGAATAACCTCAATTTATAGCCTGGGCTATAAACATCATTCTGTAAAAAGACCCAGTTTTTATTTGAGACAGGTCTCAAAACGAGATGGGCCTTTAATTCCAAAAAAAAAAAAATGAGCACAGCAAAGATGGGAAAGACTAATTGTAAATTTAAAGTGAAATCCCGAGTCTATACTAATTTGTTGTATGACAGGTCATCTCTGCCAACCTGCTGCTCTGTGGGGCAGAGAGGGAGAGACCCCTTTAATATAATCACTAACGAGAGTGTGCTGGACTATGGATTTGTAAACATCAGAATGTCTTAGTTGTAAAAACTTTAAATTTAACATGAGATGATTTCTATTTTTTTTCCTAATTTTTCATCTGCTCATTTTATTTTAAACACCCATGCACCTAGTAGACCAAAGTTTATGTCAAAATCAGTCTGAATGGAAATTGTATTTAATTGTGTTCTAGTGTTGGGCATGCAGCCTTTGTGTATTTGTTTGTGTTTCCTTTATCTGCAGTGTGATGTGCTCGTTACAACACACCCCTCATTTGCTTGAGATTTGTGTATTTGCCTGTGTTTTCTTAAGGTGTAGTGGAAAGATCTCTCTAAGGCAGCCCCAAGACGTTATGCTGAAACTTCGCTTACACAACAACACACACACACACACACACACACACACACACACACACACACACACACACACACACACACACACACACACACACACACACACACACACACACACACACACATACGCACACACACACATAAGGTCTGAAGCAGCAGCAAAGGGACGGGTCACATATTTGAGCAGCTGCCAAACTTAAGTGGAATGATAAGCATCACTCCCCCTGAAAGTGAAGTTAAATCGTTAAGTCACACTTTATGCTTCACTACTTACTTTGTGCCCTCTTTTCTAAATGTGTCACTTTGTGTTTTTTTTGTATTTGCACAGCCAATTCAAAACAACTTCTTAGCTTTGCATACAAAAGTAAACAATGATGTATTCACTGTTCTCTTTTCTAAGGAGAGCAGGTCTAGAGATAGCCAAGCTATGTTATGGCATGCACCCCATGTACAGAGGCTATAGTCCTCATTGCCGCTGCCAAGGGTTCGATACCGACCTCGGCCCGTTGCTGCATGTCTTCCCCCACTGTCTCCTCCCAATGTGTCCCGTCTCTCTTCAGCTGTGCTACCTAATAGGGGCAAAAATGGCACACACATGAAATGGTGTATAGACCGTGACCATACTCTCTATGTTGCAATAAAAATCCATAGTAGTTTTTTTTATTTTTATAACTTGTATTGGCTGAACCGGCCAACACTTTTCTGTGAAATGGCATTGGGTCCTTTCAGCCATGCACATCCGTCCCTTTTTTGTCTTTTGGGTAAAATGGAGATTTGAGAGTGTATCTGACAAAAAGGAATGGGTCATCTCTCACAGTCACTCCTGAGTGTAGCTTCATGTTAGATAGTTCAAACATAATGCCACCAAACCAGCTGGCTTGCATGTAAGCAGTTTTAAAATGCTCCTTAACTCGATAAGCAAGTTTTCACACTTTCGTAGGAGAGACACTGCAAAAATAGAGTGACCCATCCAGGTTGAGTACAGAGGGTTTCAGTATTTTCTCTTCCTAAGGACTTTTCTCTCTTACTCCTCAAACAGATATCATGGAAAAAGGCCAGGGACCTCCCTTTGAAATGGCAGCACCGCCTTACCCCGGCCCTCCCATGGGTCATGCAGCCTACCCACCCCAGCCTGGTGAGAACAGATAAAATTATTTGGCACATTTGGCACATTTTCCTCTTGAACTGTAACGTTGCTCCTAGTCAGCTTGTTTCTCATTCTGTCATTTAAACCTGTGATTCCTCCTATCCAGCTCAGCATCCTTCCTATGCGTACAGTCAACAGCAGCCTCAGATGGCACAGCCTGGTGAGAACAGATACAATTATTTGTTTTATTTGGCACATTTTCCTCTTGAACTGTAGAGTTTCTCCTAGTCAGCTTGTTTCTCATTCTGTCATTTAAACCAGTGGTGTCCAAACTTTTTTTCTTGCGGGCCAAAATTGTCGTGTAAGAATTGCTCGCGGGCCACAGGTTTTGTTTTTTAAGATATAGTTGAAAAAATAGTAAGGCTTTGTAGATCAGAATCAAAGGGCTCTCTAAAGAAACCCTTTAATAAAAGGAAATCAAATATTTAGATTTCTTTGTTCTACTTTATTTTATTTTCTTCTCAGAATCAAACCTGTAACGTGGTTCATTTCTTTGGAAAAGCTTTCTGCATTTAGCTCAGGTCATTAAATGGTTAAACAACAGTCCGCTTGTTTGCAAAAACTGAGTTTTTTTTCATAGTTTCCAAAAAACTATGTTGCTTTTACTATGTGGAAAATAGTAAAAGCTGTAGATTTAAAAAAAACAACAACACACATTGTCATGAATATTTTCTATTTTAGGAATATTGTTCAGCCCTTGTTAACATGAAAAAGAAAAACAAGATAATGTGCCAATCTTAATCTGGCCAAAATCTTCTGATTCTTCATTTGAAGTCACGTGCCGCAATCCGTCAAATCCCCTCAAGGGCCGCAAATGGCCCTCAGGCCGCACTTTGGACACCCCTGATTTAAACCTATGATTCCCCCTATCCAGCTCAGCATCCTTCCTACATGTACAGTCAACAGCAGTTTCAGGTGGTACAGCCTGGTGAGGGTCTCTCTTCAAAGGTTTCTCACAAAATGAAAAATGCAGAAAAATGTGAAGAGAGAAGTTAAGTGGTTTTTTGCGTCTTCATTACAGTGAACCAAGTGGTGGTGGTGCAGCAGCTACCCACGGAGGCTCCTGGACAGATGGTTTGTGCTCATTGCCATAACAGTGTTGTTACGAGAGTGGAGTACAAAAGTGGTTTGCTCACCTGGCTGATCTGTGGCGGACTTGGACTTTTCCTGTGAGTATAAAACAAACACACACGCAAACACAAACCTGGAACAATTCAGTTACAACCCCCACTTCTTTTTTTCATTTTTAAAACTTTAAAACAAACAAACAGTGTATATATGAGCCTATATAACGATGCAGAAGTAACTGAGACAAAGAGCGATTATGCAGTGTCACTGGATCAGAGCATTGGCTGTTTATAAAGAAGGATCAGAGCAGCAGACCAGACTAGCATGAGTCAGCAGTTTTTTTTAAGTTTGTCTCCACAGAGTTTCTGAAATATATGCCTATAAGTACAAGTTCATATTGTGTTGTTTGTTGAATATGTTAAGTAATATAGATTGTGAAATTTATCAAGATGTAAATTCTGTTAGCCATTGATGCCATTTTCCAGTATGTGTTAGCAACAAGCTAATAAACAAAGATATATATATATATCGGTCCATCTGACCGAGAAGCTAACTGAAATATTTGAATAATTTACTCCATCTTTTTTTCCTCATGTGTCAGTGAGTCTTCATATTTGTGTTTTGTAATATAATTGACAAAGACTTCATGGAAACATACTTAATCACGTGTCATAATTGTTTCTTTTCATAGTTCTCATTTCATAATAATAACCATACAAACCACCATGTATGTGACAATGGAACTCCGTCTCCACCCTGTTTGTTCAGGGTTTGGCCTGTCATGTTGTCCAGCCAGTTGACTAATTTGCAGCTTAACAATGTGTTACAGAGGTCACACTGATGTGTTACTTTAAATTTTATTCTGATACCTCACCCCAGGTGCTGGCCTTGCTGTTGGATCCCCTTCTGCGTGGATTCTTGCAAGGATGTGGAGCACTCCTGCCCACATTGTAACCAAGTCCTGCACATCCACAAACGCATGTGAAGCAGAGCTGCTGTTTAAACTCTGCTGAAGTAACAAAAAAAGAGATGAGTCAGCATGACTAAACAAACATCTGTACAGGAGACAAGCCTTTCCATGCAAACACTTCAGACGTCATCATGAGCTCTGAGCTAACTTCTATCAAACACATATAGTACCTATGATATTCTGTACTGAGACTGTTTAAGATATCACATTGGCAGGGATTTCTCTTTTTCTTTTATCTGTTTATTTTAAATGGTCAGTGATGTTGAGGAACGAGTAGTTCATAAAATTAGATAAAATATACAATTGTTGTTTCATGACTTGACCTTTGTGATGTTGTCTCCATATAATATAACTAAGTGCTACATTTATGTAACATTGTAGGAGGGGAAATGTTTAATTTGCCTAATATGACATCAAATTCTTTTTTTTTTTTTGAAAATGTCAAGATCAATATTTAACTGAAATAAACATAACTATGTGCAAATTAAAATAAATTACTTTTTTATTGAAACAAATTTTATATATACAGTTGAAAGTTTTCACCATAATAACCAAATAAAAGTTTGTACCCTCAGTGACAAATATGAATAAAAAAACAAAACAACTGATCATAACTGTTATTCACCTTTCAAACTCTTTTTCTGAGATTTTTGTTCTTGACATTTGCCAATAATTAAAAAAATATATTTTTCTTTGAAGGATCACAATATGGTTGTAACTGTTTCAGTTTTTATTTTTATTTTACTGCTTAGAAATGTTTCAAACAAATGTTTTTTGTTCTGAACATTTGTTAAAAACGCCACAGGGAGTCGGCAGTAAAAGAAAAACTAGGAGCAAAGGTGAAATTCAAAACATTAATGATGACTGCATCTGTATGTTCATTTGTGCTCACTGGCTTCATTTAATTGATCTGTCCTCTAACTAAAGACATGAGGGCAATTTATTTATTTATTTCCAAATAATGAAGGTTATAAGACAACTTACTTCTCTCAAATAATACGCCTCTTTCTTTCATTCATGGAGGATAGAAAAAACCTTTGTACATCCATTTCATAAGACAGATGCGTCCATCGAACACTTCAAGGTACACAATCAGGACTGTTTGCCTGACGAAGGTCTAGTACTAAACCGTTGCCAATAACTGTTTATTTATTAAGTTACACAGCATGCAGGAGTTTAGATTTACTTTTCATGGGGTATGTCGTGCAAAATCAGGATATTAGATCCTCTACTGTGGTGTTTGAGTAAAGCATTTATGACATGTACTTTAAAAACAAGTTAGATAGAGATATATAAGAAAATACATTTTGTCTGTAGTGACTTTACAGGATGCATTACTTTCAGTGATGTATCTATGACCCATAGTTTGCAGCCAGTGGCGATTCTAGCAGCTCTATTCAAAAATCAACTAGCATGAACTGGCATTCATTACCATTCCATCATGTGTGCCAGCATCCTGACGCATACACCTTTTCCTCTGTTTCCCCGTTTCTCTTTTTCTTTCCTATATACGGAAAATTCTCCTGCAGTTTTTTTTATTGACTTTAATTGACAAACTTTGGTTTTCACAGTAATAATGCATGCAACGCCTAGCAGGGCAACACGAGTGAGTGCTGTCAGATGGGACCCCCTTAGGGAGGTTTCCTACTGCCATTGCAAGATTTGTACATTTTGGGCCACTGCTTTGGTTAAGGTTTGTGAGACCTCAGGGGGCCTATACTGGTCTGTGGCCCCAAGCAGTTGCCTGCCTTGCCTGTTGACAAGCAGCGCCTCTGTTTGCAGCGAACATTCAGAAGAAGAAGGAATTTGTTGGAGGACCAAGATGCCTGAATATTGTTTATTAAATCAATCTCACTTAAGTGTAACAAAATACTGCCTTAGATATATATATTGAAATATCTGCTAAAGATACATCAAATTCTCTTACTGCTTGACGTCCACTGACTAAAGACAAATCTTGAAAAAAAGTCCCTTTTTACTTTTACCGTTCAGGAGTGTAATTCTCCATGTAGACAGCAGATGGAGCCAACAGAAGGTAAGACACAACCCCCTTTCTCACCTGGCAACACTTCCACTTGACATCAATCAATCTTTACTTGTATAGTGCCAATTCATAACAAATGCTTTCTTGAGACAAAAATAATGTAAAAGACGTTACTCATTTTTTTGTTACAAAGACTCAACATTAATCCATCCTGAAAAACAGCACTTAGCAAAATTTATCAAAGGTGCAGTGGCAAAAAAAATAAAAATTCTTTCCCTGCAGTTATGTTGTGTCAGGATAATCATCAACATGTCTTTCAAACATGAAATATTCAAATGACTGCTCTCTCAAGTAGCAGTGCATCTCAGATAGAAAATGTATAAATGATCCAGCTTGATGCACAAATAGGCCTTACAGAAGCTATGCAGAAACATGACGGACAAAGGTAAGTGTATTATTTTATTAATTAACAAAGTGCATGAGCATTGTTGCCCATGTGCGATTTGGGATCTTTTATGTTCTTACTATTAGTTGTTTTAGTTGCGTGACCCATATTAGTTCTGAGCCATGAATTACAAATATCCTCTTTCTGTGGTGGAGAGGAGAAAAACTAACTCCCATGATGACCCAACCCGACCTTTGTGACCTGTCCATGTGCCCAGCGCCCACTATGTGTGATCGATGTGTGCGAGAGGTTGAGGTCAGATAAAGCTGAAGCTGGGATTATAGGAAGGGCCATACTTAACAAGGCCTTATTAGCAGTGACCATAGTGACCACTGGATTACCCAGATTAGGGATTGATGTCCTGAGTTAGTCATCACTTCCCTGCCCAGTTGTCTCCCACTGCTCACTTCATTTGCGTCTCTCTCAGATGACTCAAACGTAAAACAGGACCAAACAAAAGAGATGAACACACTTAACATCAAACTCCAGCTGAATCTGAGGCTTCCCAAACTCTGTGAAACGTTATTAATGTTCTGCTTTATTTATACCCTAAGAAGATAGAGACATTAAAGAACAATGTCTCTAAGAGATTCACAGACATTTAGTTATTTTTAATGAGTTTCTGGGGGATGGGCTCAGACACATCTTTAAAAATACAAAAAAAACCTTCAAACCCTGTGAGCTTCATCTAACAGATTTAATTTTCTGTAATTGAATTCTACAATCGCAACTTTTATCTACGATTCATATCTCACTCTATTTCTATTTACTGAATGTTTGGTCTAAATAAACATAATATGGTAATGGAATAATCAGATCCATCCATCCGTTTTCTTCTCCTTATCTGAGGTTGGGTTGTGGTGGCAGCAAGTGAAGTAAGTCAACCCAGACTCACCTCTCTTTCCAGTTGAGCGTCCATCGCACCTCAACTGGCTCCTTATGTTTTGAATGTGTAGCAGCTCTACTCTACTCTAAACCAGAAACCCTCCTCCTTCCTGCTGTGCCCTGAGATCCCAAACTGAATCGGTGACAAGGGGCAACCCTGGCTTGGCCAACACCCACTGAAAAGATGTCAGACTTGATGCCGAGGATGCTTACACAACTCCTAATTTTGGTCATACCGGGATCGGATGGCCCGTATCCATGTTCCTGCAGTACCCCCCACATGGTCCCCTGAGGGACAAGGTCATAAACCTTCTCCAAGTCCACAAAACACATGTAGACTGGATGAGCAAACACCCATACCACCCCAAGAAACCCTGCAAGGATAAAGAGCTGATCTACTTTCCCACAGCCAGGACAGAATTCTCATTGTTCCTCCTGTATCTGAGGTTCAATTGGTCGGGGCCTCCTTTCCAGCACCCTAGAGTAAACATTCAGTCTACTCAGGAGGCAGAGAAGTGTGATCCCCCGATAAATGGAGCACACCCTCCGGTGTCGGCCAAGACATCCAAAAATTGTCCACGGCCTTAAGCATCTTGGGACGAATCCCATCCACACCTGGTGCTTGCCAATGATCAGCTTTCTAACTACCTAATGGACCTCTTCTAAGGTTAATAAGGCTTCCCCGGGATCTTATGACTCTGCCTCCACTGCACGTTGGGTTCAGGAGCTCCTCAAAGTATTCCTTCTACCGCCCAGTCTGGGTCAACAGGTCTCCACCCCTGCTGATAACAGTCTGGGGCAAGCCCTGCTTTCCCCTACTGTACTGTTGGACAGTTTGCCAGAACTTCCAGTTGGCCATCCTTCTCTATAGCTTCCCCAAACATTTCAGGAAATACATTCAACTGCTTTGGGTAAATGGACCATCCAATGTATAAGGAATGGACAATGGAATTCTTTGCCTCGAGTGAAGCCAAAAGATATAGATACATGTGAATATATTTTAAAGTGCTTATGAAATGTGACAGCACATCAAAGGCTTCCTCCAGTTATGCTCACTTTAGACATTTGCCAAAGCACTTGGAGAGCTAGCATGGCTAACTTCTTTACACCTCCAATATTTTTCCAGGCAATTGGGAAAGAGCAAGAAATTTAGTCGCATTTAATAAAGGTAAATAGTGCGTTATTTTAAACTTAAATGATAAATTATTGAGTGAATTTTTGCAGTGCTGCGAGCAGATTCTTTTTTTTTTCACAATTTGACAAAGCCAGGCCAGGTGGTTCTCCCTAAGAGTTTAGAGTCTTAAAACTTTAACCACAATTAGGTAAGTGAAAGTAATTTAAGCTCACTGAAGGCATTGTAACCTGCAATAAGAAAATTTAAAGTGGCTGAATTCTATTTGGCTACTTTTCCAGGCATGTGAGGATTTAGGATCTGGATTAGACTGTCCTGTCTCACACAGCAGGGAGCAGGTGTGCACTACTTGACTTACATCTGTGTATGTGAGTGTATTTATTTGTGTACCACAAACCAGCTTTGGCCTCTCCTATGTTTGGCCTCTGTTTGAGCTCACTACTGTCCATCAGCATCAATCTCTCTTACACTGAGTCGATAAGCTTGCACAGTGGTCATTCCATGTCTTGGTATTTCCTCATGTCGTGTCTCTCCATCCCTACATTCATGCACATTACCTGGGGAGGAGATTACTCCACTCTAATGGGAGACTTGGCTGAATCATGTCTTCACGGGTATTATGTAACACTTTACGAGGACGACCACGTGGCCGCAGGGCTCACCTTGGTTAAGATTGACCGCCTGCCCCTCCTTATCCAAAGCCCATCATCACTCTGAAACACACACGGTCCACTGGCATCTTCTTGAAGAGACCTCCAGTTGTTTTTTGTCCAATCTGCTGATCAAAGATTAAGCCACATCTCCCAAAGTTCTGCATGTGAGGAAAACGGGGGCGCCAGCAGGCAGGATCTAACACCAAGATGTGCAAACAAGTGACTAATGCTGGATATGCAGTGGTTTATATGCTGTACTTACTTCCTATTTCTCCTCTTGTTTAGACAGGTGCATCAGCAAATCATGCTCTCTGTGTGTGGGTGATGAGAAGTAAAGGTGGGATTGCATCTCTGTTGACACCTCCGCAGATTCAGCGTGCAGCAGGCAGAGAGAAACACAGATGAGCAGACAGAGTTAACAGTAAGAAGGGGACAGAGGGAGACAGTGTGAGAGAGAGAAGAGTGGCAGAAGATATATTTGACTATGTGGGTGTGTGAAGTATCAACGCATGCATCATAA